GCGGAAATGAATCATCTCTGGGTTTGTTTAGTAAATAGTTTCATGCCTCCTGACCCCAGCTGGCTCACTCACTGATTTCTTTATGGATGCTCCTGGACTAGCAGCCCAAACAGTCAAGACCTGTAAAAGCTGGCTGTTTCTGGATTCCTTTTCTTTTCCAGGGCTGGTGGCTTGATCTCCTTCACCATGGTAATGGTGAGAAATGAAACCTAGCATTCCAGATGAGTCCCATCAGCTGATCAAGGGATAGGAGAAGCAAAGAAACCTCTGGGTTCTCAGAGATTTGTATGCTATCTCAGCATCCCTCAAAATCCTCATCTCCTAGAGAAGGCCAAGGTTTAGAGAAGGGACGGACGGAACAAACTCCCATCAGAAACAGCTAGGAAATGGAGCTGGAGCCAATGTTCATACCTTGAATTTGTGGAATCCTAGATTTATACCACCATTATCATGCTGCTCTGTGGTGTGTGTGCGTGTGTGTGTTATGTGTGCCGAATGTGGGTATGGGAAGACCGCAGGTCCTTCGGGATAGAAACCTAACATCTCTGTGCATTAAGCCTTAAGTGTGTTATAGACGAATGACAGGAGTGTCAGAGAGAAGGGATGTGGTGAAACATGTTCAAGACCACCCACGCCATAGCCCCCTCCCTCACAGTGAAGGAATTCCATAGGCTCCAGGTCTGTCCGGGTTCATCTACTTCCTGGTGAATCCAGTCACGAAAGTTTTTCAGTTTCTAAAAATGGGCAGAGGCTGTTTCCCAAAGCTATTGGTGATACAGGAATTGAATATTGACACGGAACTCCAGTGAGGCCATGGGGATTGGAATTAACAGTCACGTACTGTGACACGGATCACAGATAAGGTCAGGGCTACAGAGGGCAGATGGCGCTCCTGAGGAGTCATAACGGGACCAGATCAAGTGCTGGAGCCTGGGAGTCACGGAGGGTGTTCTGAGACAGGGTCAGGTGCACCTAGCTCTGTCTCTAAAAGGATGTAAGATGTAAGACACAAATTAGAGCATGCTCAGTGTTTCCAAAGAGCCCTGTGTGCGGAGACATGCCTGCTGTGTACACGGAGAGACATGAATAAATGTTTACCCCCACAAGTCATACCAAAATAATCCGTACCCAAGTGTAGCTTGAAAATGAGTTTATTGAGGTTACTTAGAGAGTCTGGGTGACTCAAAAGAAGTCACCGCGGCATCGCGAAAAAGCCCACCCGAGTGCCCATTTACGAATGCTTTTTAGCCTGATGTCCCTGCTCAACCTGCAGGCAGCTCCGGCAGTGTCTTCCCTCTGCAATCTTGTGAGTCTTGTACTTTTCTGAACTCCCTGAGTCTTTTTGTTTTGTTTTGGTTTGGTTTTGGTTTTTGAGACATTGTTTCTCTGGGTAGCTTTTGCTGTCCTGGACTCGCTTTGTAGAATAGGCTGGCCTTGAACTCACAGAGATCCACCTGCCTCTGCCTCCCTGAGTGCTGGGATTAGAGGCGTGTGCCACCACGACCGCCCTGGTCTTAAGAGCCGCCCTCTTCCCTCCAGCGCGGAAAGTTTCAGTGCTGAGGAAATAGGACACTGCCCTTTTTCAGACGTGGAAACTGAGAGACAGAACAAACCTTGGTCTTCCAGTTAGTGAGCAAGTAGCCAGGCAGGATTAGATCTATGCACACCTCTGTTCCTCCCCTCGGGAGGTGGCCTGTGGGACCTTGGGGGCGGGGCAAACTGTCTGGGGGCGGGGCCGAGGGCCTAGAGGCGGGGCATGCTGTCTGGGGGCGTGGCCGAGGGCCTAGAGGCGGGGCATGCTGGCCCAGGGGCTGGGCCCGGGGTAGAACTGGCCTAGCGGCTCGGGGATCTGAATCCTTCTCCCGCGGCCAGGCTAGCGCAGAACCATGGGCGTCCAGGAGCGGGAAGCGCGGAGGTGACGGGGCTGAGCCCCGGCAAGACCTCTGGGCCGGCCATGGGCGACCGCGAGCGCAACAAGAAGAGACTGCTGGAGCTGCTTCAGGCTGCGGGCACCGGCAACGCGCGGTGCGCCGACTGCGGGGCTGCGGGTAAGGGCGCAGCGTGCGGGGCAGGTGCAGCCAGGCACGGCCCGGGCCCCGGGCCCGCCGGCCCCTTCCCCAGCAGCCCGTCAGCGCGCGACCCAGACTCACCGCTCACGCGGGATCCCAGTCACTCTGGCTGGAGAGATTCTGGCGGCCCCGACGGTCTTCCGTCTCCCTGCTTCCGAAGCCCTGCAGGACCTTCGTCCTCGCTCCGCACCAGATGCGGTCCGTGTCCTGGGTCCCTCTCACCCTCCCACCCGGGACCCGGCTCTGGACAGCGTCTCCGACCCCGGGCCCTTCCTGCGCCCTCGGACCCCGAGGTCCTCACCTTCGGTGCCTCCTGGGCCACCGCGACCCTCGCTGCCGCGCGTTGACCCTGAGGATGCTAATGAGGCTGGCTCCAGCCCCCGAGCAGGTCCCTCAGGCGCCCGCTCTTCTCGGTTCCCCCTTCTGAGGTCTCCTGGGTTGTCTCCGAGCCACGGGGAGGGCTAAGCACAGTTCGTGCCGTCAACTCAGTAGTGCAAGGTTGGGGACCACCAGAGAAACGATGGCTGCCATGGGCAGAGCTGGCCTCCGACCCAGAATCCTGCTGTCCGGCCCGGCCTGTCCCTGCACCCTAGTCTAGCCCTGGTCCGGCTCAGCGGAGATCCCGCCCTTCCACCCCACAGATCCTGACTGGGCCTCGTACAAGCTGGGGATCTTCATCTGCCTCCATTGCTCCGGGGTCCACCGCAACTTCCCGGACATCAGCAAAGTTAAATCCGTGAGACTGGACTTCTGGGACGACAGCATGGTGGAGGTAGAGCGGCGAGCATGTGCAGTCTCGGAATTGGGCGCGGGTCGGGACGCAGGTGCTCCTCCTCGTGTTCCTCCGGGGAGGAATCCAAGCTAATCACTCGCTCCTCTGACAAGGAGAGAGAGAGAGAGAGAGAGAGAGGGAGAGAGAGAGAGAGAGAGAGAGAGAGAGAGAGAGAGAGAGAGAGAAGATGTGTATGTACCTGACTGTATGTATGGGCATATGCCACAAATGCGCAGGAACCCATAGAAGTCAGAGGAAGGCATCTGACCCCCTGGAATTTGAGTAACAAGCAGTTGTGAGCGGCTGCAGATTGAACCCAGGTCTTCTGTGAGGGCAGTAACCGCTCTTTACAACTGCCCCTGGGCTAGTTCCTTAATCTCAGCTGTGGATTCTGTTTCCACGCCCATGCTGTGGGCACGCACCAGCCTCTCACTGGCTGCTGTGAGAATAACGCAGGCTCAGCCCTGGCACAAAGTGAATGAACAGTTGCTGTCATCGCTGGTAGCAGCCAGAAACTGAGGAAGAGAAACACCCTCATAGCCTACGTTCCTTTCCACCTTCTTAGCCCACTCTGCTTTCCTGCCCAGTTAGTGTGCAGGAGCCCTCAGCCTAGGTGGTGAAGCCATTTTTGGCCAAAAAACCTTAAAAGAGCAGGCAGGACAAGGGCGCATCGGTGAACCAAAAGGTTCAAGGGCCTCTGGGGAAGGGGGTATCATCCTTGAGCAGTTCCATTCTGCGGCAGGAGCTGAGCTGGGCTTTTCACTGCTCAGTCGCCACAGATGTAACTGTAAGCCTCCTGTGTTCTTGGTGGGAAGAGCCCGCTGACAAGACAAAGAGGCTGTCCTCTCAAGGCTTACATTCTTTGATGGGAAAGGCAGGCACTCTGCCAACCAGCCCAAACAGGTTTTTTGTTTTTGTTTTTGTTTTTCCTTCTAACTCTCCCATTAATGTCTTCACCAGGACAGGTGAGATTCCCAGAGTCACTCAGGCCGTGCTGGGGCTCGAAGGCAGTCTTATCTCCAGGATCCCCAGGGACCGTTCACCATTTCTGCCCTTTCCCCTATGCCACAGCCCTCTGGCACCTTAGCATGTCACTGGACAGGATGCCCACTCTGAGTTTCAGGTGACAGGGGGTATTCTATGGGGCTAGCAGCCATTCTCGTTCTTCAGACACCCCAGTGTCCTGCAGACTTTAAGGTCTGTAAGGGAGCTTGGCACTCTACGGAAGGAGTGAGATCTTCGTGGTCCGGCAGAACTGGGTTCAGTGTTAACTAGCTGTGTTGCCTTGACAAGCCACCTAACTTCCTCTCTACATACAGAAGGGTAGTGTTAAAATGGTTGAGAGGATGCAGAAAGCTATTGTGTGAGGACTGTAAAGGACTATATAAGATATGGCAAACCAGGCTTTCCATGCCTGGTGAGAAGCCTCCTCAGAGGTGATTTCTCCTTACCCTGCCTTGGGGCAAGCAAAAAACACAGACTATTTATTTATTTATTCATTTATTTTATTGAGTCAGGGTTTCTCTACATAGCCCTGGCCATCCTCACAGAGAGCGGCCTGCCTCTGCTGGGATTAAAAGCCTGTGTGCAGCACCACGCCCAGCAACCACGGTCTTCTGGGTTTCTGGGTAGACCATAGTTTCATTTCCATTTCGTTTTCAAGTTCTACAATTATGCCAATGTACTCTTGTCTTACAGTTCATGACCCACAACGGGAACCTCAGTGTGAAAGCCAAATTTGAAGCCAGGGTCCCAGCGTTCTACTATGTCCCTCAGGCCAACGATTGCCTGTAAGTGAGTGATTCCATATAATCTGGGGAGGGGTCTCCCAGCCCTTCCCTGCCCCTGGCACCTTTGTCTGAGCTGAGTTCTCCTGGGACCTGGCTAGATGCTTTCAGGGACAGGTTTGGCATGACCACTGAGGTGCGCAGGATTCCTGGTTTAAACCAGCTGTGGTGGCAGAAGCCTGTAATTCCAGTGCTTGGGATGGGAATGAGGAGGGTACAGTTAGGAATTCAAGGTCAGCCTCAGCTACACACTGAGTTGGAAGTCAACACGGGCTACTTGAGACTCTGCCTCAAACGAAACAAAAGCCATTGATATTTGTGGAGCCTCCTGAGTGTGCCAACCCTGCAAGGAGACCTGTTACCCTAAATTCAGAGACAGAACCTGAAGGAGGGGGGAGGTTGTAAAGGTGAGAACCTAATGACCCAAAACCTCTGCAGGTCTGACTCCCTGAACCTAGGCCTCTTTCCCAGGGACTCGGCCTCACTCAGGACTCACAGGACAGGGTCTGGTGTACTCAGGAAAAGGGATATCTCATGCAAGCATGGCTGGAAAGTTGTATTTGAGCCACTAAGTCTTGGCGTGATGCTTTCAGGCCTTGCACAAATATGTAACTGTGGCTGGTGGATCTGTGCTTTTGCAGCTAGGTAACCCAAGAACTACTGATGTACATGGAGTGGGAGCAAAAGACGTCTTTAAATGCGGAGGGCTTCAGGTTTCCCCTCCTCCCGACTCTACCTATAAGAAGGTAGCCAAGCCACCCAGGCCTTTGGATGTCCCTCTGCATGTAGCCCAAGTCCCTCTTCAGAAACATAGACAAGAACATGCCTTACAACATGATGTAGATAGATCAAATGATACCATTTGTGTGTCTCCTGTGTCACCCAGAATGGTAGTTTTGATGCTTTTTTGTTTTTTGGAGACAGGGTTTCTCTGTGTAGCCTTGGCTGTCCTGGACTTGCTTTGTAAACCAGGCTGGCCTGGAACTCACAGAGATCCGGCTGCCTCCGCCTCCCGGAGTCCTGGGATTACAGGCGTGCACCACTATGGCTGGCTTCATGCATTTCTTAGTGTCGGCTTTACAGTGAGACCTGGTCTCTCAGCCCTCTGAGGTGACCCTCATGTCGGACACCCCTTGAAAGAGGCTAGCCCATCTAGCCCCAGGCCACCACTCAGCCTTTACTCCAGAGGCCCTGGACAGCATCTCCTTCATGGGCATTCTCCCCAGCCCCGCTCCAGCATTGTTTCTCATGACTCCTACAGATATCTTTGCGTTTGGATCCCCGTTGACTGAGGGCTGGTGCCTACTTTCCTCCAGTTCTAAAACTAATGCATTCCCCGCAGTCTCCAGTCTCTAGCCTCTCCCCTGGTGCTGATCCTATGGCCCAAGGTTCCCATCTCCGTGTTGGGCCAGGTGCTGTTCTCACTGTCCCGTGGGCAAGGCTATGCCTTGGGAAGGTACTGGGGATGCATACTAAAGGTCAAAAAGAACCCTTGATTGTAAGGGACAGAACTCCAACTTAAGCTGGCTCAGGCACCAAAAGATTATGTGGGTTCTGAAGCTCAGCCACCAGGAAGGGCAGAGGTGAAGCCACGCTCAAGAAAGACAATGCCAAACCAGGTATGATAGTGCGCCCCTGTAATCCTAGGGAGACTGGGGCCCGAGTGGCTTGAGTTTGAGATGAGCCTGGACTGCACTATGGTAAGACCCCGTGACAAAACAGTCACAGCGAAGGCCTGCAGGGTGGCCCAGTGGGTAAAGGCACCCGCCATTAAGCTTGAGAACCCGAGCTACATTCCTGAGATCTGCATGAAGGGAAGAGAGAACTGGTTCCCACACATGCACTGTGGATCAAGAGCAGTGACACACGTACATATGCACACAAAATAAATAAATAAATACATGTGCTTTAAATATTTATTTATTTTAAGGCAGGGTTCCTCTGTGTAGGTCTGTTGTCCTAGAACTAGCTCTACAGACCAGGCTGGCCTTGAACTCAGAGATCTGCTTGCCTCAGCCTCCCCAGTTCTAGGATTAAAGGCATGTGCCACCATGACCAGCCTAAATGTTTTTTTTTTTTTTAAAGAGGAAGCAAAAGGGAAGAGGAAGAGGAGGGTCATAATACCAGGAGCTCAAACATGACCAAGGAAAAGGAGAAGGGGAGACGGAAGGGCCACACCAGCCAGCAGACCATATCTTTCATGCTCTCCTGGCTCTTGTCCATCCATCTTCCTCTCAACCAGGCTTCTACCTGCAGCTGGCAGCAAATCCACTCTCAGGTTTATGCTGTACTGCCCAGCATGCACAGAGATGCCTTCTAACTTTTGGTCCCCTTGATCCACACAGCCCAGGGCAACCCAGAGCTCCAGGTGACTTGTTTGGGCCAGATGCACAGCTCAAGGTCACTGCTGTTCCCAGGGCATTCAGTCAGCTAACCTTTGGAACATGTACCTGGAAGAGACAAGGAACAAACAATGGAAATAAGTTTGTTCTCAGCTGCAGCCAAGGATAACGTTTGGTTGATGTTAGCATTAAGGACCTCCTGTGAGCCCGGTGCTGGGAGGCACGCCTTCATCTAACTATCTGGGAGGCAGGAACAGGTAGTTCTCTGTGAGTTCATTGCCAGCCTTCATAGTAGGACACGGCATTAAAAAAAAAACCCTACTATGTGTTGAGTATGGTGCTGGGTTCTTTATATACAACAGCCTACCTCAACAGCACTAGGGAGGGCTGGGTATATTTCTGGCTGATTTCCCAAACTTAGAGATGTTCAGTAATTTGGTCTGGCAGTGTAGCACAGTTTATAGAGTGCTTACTCAACATGCTTAAAGACCTGGGTTGGATCCCCAGTGCTGCCTAAAACTGGATATGGTGGCACACATCTGTAATCCTAGCGCCTGAGGGGTAGAAGCAGGAAGATCGTGAGTTCAAAGTCATTCTCAGTTACTTTGGACACCTCTGGGTCAGCCTGGGCCGCCCTGGAGCTCCTCTCAAGATAAATAAATAAAACAAAGTTCAGCCAGTCCACTCTCTGCAGTGTGTGGTGGTCCAGAGTCCATCAGCAGGTCCAGGATGGTTTTGACTCAAGTTCAAGAGCAGGGAGTTGGAGGGGGAAGGGCGCAGGTTAAGAGTCCAGGGAGTTTATCTTCACCATTGCTTCTCAACCCACAAATGCCCTTGCTGTGTCATCTGGAGAGAAGAAGCTACTGGCATCCAGGAGGCAGAAGCCGGAGGTACAGCTGCACGTTCCATAAAGCACCGGCCACCCCACCCCCACTACAGAGAACCAGTCCTCCAGCACCCGCGGCGTTAACACCCCGAGGAGGAGAACCTCTGGGTGTTCTAAGACAGCAACTGCTGGACCGTCCCTACCCTCCCGCTGCAGGGTCTGGGAAGGGCACTGTGGGAAGACACTGAAGTAGACACAACTGACCTCTTCTCTTTTTAGGGTCTTAAAGGAACAATGGATTCGAGCTAAGTATGAGAGACAGGAGTTTATAGCTGAAGAGAAAGCTGTCTTTCCCCCAGGTAAACTTACTGCTTTGTACACATATATGTATGAGCACCGTATGTATGCAGTGCACCAGAGGCCAGGGCCAGGTATTAGATTCCCTGGGACTGGAATTGTGATAGTTGTGAGCCATGTGGGAGCTGGGCTTTGAACCTGGGTCCCCTGGAAGAACAGCCAGTGCTCTCAGCCACTGAGCCATGTCTGCAGCCCGGAAGTTACCATCTTAATGTTTTGAGGTCTATGTTCTAACGAGAGGGGGGAGGTAGGCTTGGTAGGAGCATGCGCTGTATTTCAGCCTTTCTTTCCACACTCATGCAGGGTACAGCATCACTGGCAGCCCTGGACCAGGGCAGTTTTCACTCCACTGACTTGAATTCTCAGGCTGGCACTGACCAGAGAGGACAAAGGTCTTGAAGGAGCTCAGCTTCCAGGAGTGCAAATTATTTCTCAACTAGTAGATGTCTTGAGGTCACTCTTAAACCCTTAAACTTGTATCAGGTTGATGTCAGTGTCGAAGTTGGCTAGGAATATATAATATATATAATGTATAATTGCATATTTTTAGTCAGAGTCTCACTATATAGCCCTGACTTGCCTGAAGCTCCTAATGTATCCCAGGCTGGCCCTAGACTCACGGAGATCCATCTGTCTCTGCCTCCCAAGTGCTGGGATCAAAGGTATGCGCCACCACACGCACAGCCTTCACTCTTTTGAGGCAAGATCTCATGTGTCCCAGGCTGGCCTTGAACCCACTGTATAGCCAAGGATGACCTCAAACCCCCGATCTTCCTGTCTCTACCTCCTGAATGTTAGTATTATGGACACGTGCCGCCACAACTGACTTTATGCAGTTCTGGGGGTTAAATCCAAAGCTTCTTAGATGCTGTGAGAGACTCTACCAGCTAAGACACCTCCCAGCCCAGGATCTCTTTCAGAGTCAGTCCAGTTAGCAATGCTTGGTTGTAAGATCTTTTCTTCTCTCCTCCCCTCCTCTCTCTGTCCTTCCTTTTTAAAAAACTTAAATAAATATCTTAACTTTATATTTACGGGTATGATTGTTTGGCCCGAATATATGTGTGTGTATCACATATAGTCCTGGCGTCCTCGGAGCTCAGAAGAGAGTGTCTGAGCCTCTGGGACTGGACTTATGGATGGTTGTGAACCACTGTGTGTGTGTGTATGTGTGTGTGTGTGTGTGTGTGTGTGTGTGTGTGTGTGTGTGTGTGTTGAAAACTGAACTTGGGTTTTTTGCAAAAACAGCAAGTGCCTTTAACTGCTGAACCATCTCTCCAACACCTTTTCCTTTCTTTTCTGTGACACAGTCTTGCTATGTAGCCAAGACTGGCATCGAACTCATCACACACCTCTTTCCTCAGCCTGCCCCACCTGTCTTCTCAGGAGAGCCAAGGAAGTAAGGTTTGCATAGTGGGTGAAGGCTGAACTTACATCAAGTTGGCCCCAGACAGGACCCTGTGTCCTGCACCTGAATGAGCCCAGTTAGGTTGGCTATATGTGAGTGGTAGGTACTAGCTCGTCTGCCCTAAGGGCCTTGGGCCTCCCATTAGCTCGCTTATGTTGACCTCATGGTTCACTTCTTGCCTTGGTGGTTAAGGAAACCGAGAAGTGTTCCTGTGGAAGCGAGGACGGGACAATGCACAGTTCCTGAGGAGGAGGTTTGTCCTTCTGGCGAGAGAAGGCCTTCTGAAGTACTACACCAAGGAGGAGGTAAGAGGTTGCCTGGTTTCCTCAGGCTCACTCTGTCACTACGGCCTAGTCTTATGGGGAACTTCAGCCCTGGTGAGCATGATATTCCCCTACTTTCCCTTGGCAACAGTCCATCCAGTTCAGTAGCAACCGCGCTCTGGTCACTCAAGATGAGCTTAGTTTGGTCCACTTCATGGTGGAACATGCCTTTAGCCTCTGCACCCTGGACACAGAAGCTGGAGGATCTCTGAGTTCCAGACCAGCCTGGGCCGGATAGCAAGACCCTGTCTGTGTAAACAAGGGCTAGGGAGATGGCTCAGCAGTTAAGAGCACCTGTTGCTCTTGCAGAGGACTCTGGGATGGTTCTCAGCACCCATACTGTGGCTAACAACCACCCCCAGGTCTCAAGGTCCAAGGGACTTGGCGCCTCCTCTGAACTCTGCACAAATGAGGCATGTATGTGATGCACAGACTTATATGGAGATAAAACACTTACGCACATATAAACTAAAATAAATTGAAACCAAACCAACCAAACAAATAAAAAGCAAAATTTCCAAGCCTCCAAAAGGCCAGGCCAGGAAGTGTATTCTACAGGGTCAAGACAAATCATGTAGCCAGCCTTGCTTAAAGGAAGGGATACAATTCTATATCCTTATGGATAGGGTATCTGGGGCCCAGTGGGAGAACAGGAAGTGGTGAGGATAGGGAGGCCAGCTACCATGTCAAGCCTGGGGCATTCTAGGATTAGAGAACAGAAGAAATGAAAAGTGCTAACAGAGTGACTGTGAAGGAGCAGCCCACCTGAGGGCTCTTCAGCATGGCCTGAAGGCATTCTAACCCTGTCACTCTCCTAGAGGAGCAGGCAGAGGTAGGGCTAGCTGCTGTGTCTGGGACTGAGGGAAAAGTGTTAGGGAGTAGCTGGGGCATGATGGTGCCTGCCTTTAATCCCAGCACTCAGAAGGCAGAATTAGGCTAATCTCTGTGAGTTCGAGGCCAGCCTGGTCTACAAATAAGAGTCCAGGACATCCAGGGCTACACAGAGAAACCCTGACTTGAAAAACAAAAAACAAAACAAGAAGATAAATATTTCAGCCAGGCTCAGTGGAGCATGCCTATAATCCCAGCACTCTGGGATGCTGAGGTAGGAGGATCTCTGTGAGTTCCAGGCCAGCCTGGTCTACCAAGTGAGTCCAGGACAGCCAGGGCTACACATAGAAACCCTTTCCCCCAACCCAAGAAAAAAAATGTTTAGAGAGAAGAGTGTTAACCCTCCAAGTGGAAATGGAGACTTACCATTTAAAGACTGACAACTTGCTTTTTTTTTTTTTTTTTTTGAGACAGGGTTTCTCTGTGTAGCTTTGCCTGTCCTGGACTCACCTTGTAGACCAGGCTGGCCTTGATCTCAACAGAGATCTGCCTGCCTCTGCCTCCCTAAGTGCTGGGTTGTGCCTACAGGGATGTGCCACCATGCCACCCTGTAGGCTGACAAGTTGCTTTTTCAACGTTTTTGGTTTTTTTGTTTTGTTTTGTTTTTGTTTTTAAGGCAGGAAGAGAAAGCTCTGCTGTGGTTAGTCAGGGCCCAAGGCCCACTGGTGGCTGTGACTTGGTCTCCATGACAGGGTTTCCTCCCTGACTGGATAAACGATATTTGATTTTCAGTTCCAAGCCGGTCCAGTATGCTGTGTTTTGAGGGCAGTGGGGGAGGCAGGGGCCTGTGTTCGTGTTTGTTTGTTTCCGGGTTCAGGAAGAGCTGCATACTGACCACTCAGGCACCAGACTCAGACTGATGGAAGTTTAGTGAACAATGAACAAAGACTGACCAGTCAGGGCCATAATTTGGATTTGGGAGCCAGACTATGATGTGGGTCTTTTTTTTTTTTTTTTTTTTAGATTTATTTATTAATTATACATACAGTCTTCTGCATACATGTATGATTGCAGGCCAGAAGAGGACACAGAAGAGGGCACCAGACCTCATCACACATGGTTGTGAACCACCATGTGGGTGCTGGGAATTGAACTCAGGACCTCTGGAAGAGCAGACAATGCTCTTTACCTCAGACATCTCCCCAGCCCCCACCAGTCTGTTTCTAAGGCAGTTTTTTTTTTTTCCATACTAAAAACTATAACCAGGTAACCAGCTGTAGGAAGCGAGGGGGGCAGCATTACATCATTTTGGCTAGCTAAACATAATCAATTTTGTTCCAAGTGTATTGTGTTGTATCTAGGTAGCTAGACAAAGCATTTTAAACTGATTGGCTGGGATTAAGGATAGAGGAGCTCTTGGAGGACTTTCCAGCTCTCTGGGAGTAAGGAACATAGCAGGATGTTTCAATCTTTAACTCAAACAGAACTTGCATTTATCATCTATTGTTTTATTCTAAGCAGAAAGTATTGAACTATTGAATTGTATCCTGGTCTCAGGCACGTTGGCCTAAGAACTTGAACTTAATTTTACTTTATGATCAAAATGGAGACTTGGAGACAAAATGGCTTCTGATATGCTAAAGGCTACAGCAGGTGTTAACAGAGGAGCCACAGTTATGCTGAGAGCTAAAGTAGGTCTCAACAGAGGGGCTATAGAGTTTAATCAGGTTACAACAGGTTGTTTTGTTTTTACATGAGATTGTGCTGGGTAGCCCATTGGCTTGCCTCATTTTTCTGAATGTTGAGATTACAGAAATGCACTCTATATGGGCCTTTTCTTTTAAACAAAAATTTTTCCCCAAAGTGGAATTTTTTTTTTCCTGTCATCAAAGTAACTAATTTTTATATAAAATGTTTGGTTGTGCAAAGAGTTAAGCTAAGTGGAGTTACAGCTTCCCTGGAGGCAGGACAGGGTTTCAGCCCAACAGTTAAAGACTAACCTGGGCAGTCAGGTGTGGTGGTGGCAGGTGCCCTTAATTCCAGCACTTGGGAGGCAGAGGCAGGTGGAGCTCTGAGTGTGAAGCCAGCCTGGTCTACAGAGTGAATTCCAGGACTGCCAGAGCTAGTTAGAGAAACACTGTCTCAAAAAACAAAACAAACAAACAAAAAGGGGGGGAGAGATGTCTCAGCGGTTAAGAGCACTGATTGTTCTTCCAGAGGACCCAGGTTCAAGTACAAGCACCCACATAGCAGCTCAGAACCATCTGTAACTCCACACAGACATATATGCAGGCAAAACACCAATGTACATAAAATTCTTAAAAAAACCAAAACAACAACAAAAAACCCCAGCAAGCCGTGCTACATAGGTGCATGCCTATAATCCCAGCACTCAGGGAGGCAGAGGCAAGCGGGTTGCTGTGAGTTTGAGGCCACTGTAGTCTACAAAGCAAGTCCAGGACAGCCAAGGCTACGCAGAAAAACCCTGTCTCGTAAAAACAAAACAAAACAAAAGACAAAAGTAACAGTGTGATAAATATAAAGAAAGTAAAGCTCAGGCTGGGCCTGGCAAATGTGAGAAGAGATGCTCCTTCTCTCTAGCACCAGAGATGCAGGTTTCAGTCACAGAGAGGCAAACTGGCTTCCCACCAGAGTGAGGAAACTGAAAACTGCTGCAAAGGCCAGCCCAGGGAGAATGCAGGGCAAGGAGAACTCATTCATTGCTGGGGGGTTACATATTGCTCTCCTCTTAGAAAGCAAGAAGGCACCTGTTGACTTGAGGATCCTCTTTCTCTCTTCTAGGCGAAAGCCCCGAAGGCTGTCATCAACATCAAGGACTTGAATGCCACCTTCCAGACAGAGAAGATAGGCCATCCCCATGGGCTGCAGATCACCTACAGGAGAGAGGGCCGCACCAGGAATCTGTTTGTATATCATGACAATGGGAAGGTGAGATGTCTCAAGTCACTTCCGCAGCCTCCAGCATGGCACCCAGCTGATGGGCTCAGCTCATCATCTCCGGTGCACATTTCACTATGCACTCAGCTGCCTCTTAGGACCTGCTGCTGCTGCTTGCCTTAATCAACTTCTACACTGTGCTCTTAGCCAGAGATCTGAGGCAGGCAGAGTGGATGTAAGAGATGAACCCAGCAAGTACTGGGAACATACTGATGGGCAGTGCATATCTGTCATCAAGGAGAGAGAACTTAGGGCCAGAGAGATGGCTCAGAGGTTAAGAACTCGCTGTTCTTCCAAAGGTTCTCAGTTCAATTCTCAGCAACCACATGGTGGCTCACACCATTTATGGTAAGATCTGGTGTGCAGGTAGAATGTTGTAGAAGTAATAAATAAATCTTTAAAAAAAAAAGAGAGAGAGAGAGAGAGAGAAAAGTTAGCAGAGAGGACCATAGCCAGAAACAGCAGCCTCCAGCACACACCAGCCTCCAGCACCAGGGGGACAGAGTCAGGAGGATCTCTTTAAGTTTGAGGCCAGCCTGCTCTAAATAGTGAGTTCCAGGCCTGCCAGGGCTACATACTGAGGAAAGAACAAAAAACAAAGAAAGCTAGGCATGGTGGCACATAGCTTTGACCCCAGCTCAGGAAAGCAGAGACAGGTGGATTGCTGTGAGTTCAAGGCCAGCTTGGTCTACAAAGCCAGGCAGATCTCTGAGTTTGAGGCCAGCCTGATCTACAAGTGAGTCCAGGACAGCCAAAGCTGCATAGAGACACACATACACACAGAGAGAAACAAAATCCCAAAACAAGACAAAAATAACAAAGAAAAAGAAAGTCTGGGTAGGGCCAAAGACTGATTTTGGAGGAAGGTGGATAGATTGGGCCAGGGCCTTTCTTTCCACCTGTTAGAACCAAGAGCATCGTTATGTCCTAAGACCAGGAGTCTTAGGGGTGGAGGAATGGCTTAGTGCAGGATTTCCTGTTCTTGCAGAGGGCCTGGGTTCAGTTCCCAGCACCCACAAAGTGATTCACAACAGAGCTTCAGTTCCAGGGCGTCCAATGTCCTCTTTGACTTCTGTGGGCACAGGACGCTTATGCGGTGCATAGATGTACAAGCAGGAAGGAGAGAGAGGAAGAATAAAGCCAGATGCAGCAGCACACGCCTTTAATCCAGCACTCAGGGAGGCAGAGCATGTGTGGCTAAGTTAAATGTCCTCCATCACCGACTATGCTGAGGGCCTGAACTAGGGCACTCTCATTTGCTTGACTGCTTCGCCCTCACTGGGCTGATCTCCGGTCTTGCTATATATCCTAATTTGAGCGCAAACCCATGATCCTCCTGTTTCAGCCTGCCAAGTGCTGGGATTATAGAAGCATAATGCTTCTCAAATGTTTTCGTGTGTCTTAATCACTCAAGACTCTTAAACTTTCTAACCGAGCAGGTCTGGGGTGGCCCGTGACTATTCATTTTGGGGCTGGACAGATGGCTCAGCAGATAAGAGTGCTGGCTGTTCTTCTAGAGGACCCAATTTTGACTCCCAGCACCCACATGGTACCTCACAACTATCTGTACCTCCAGCTATGGGGAATCCGACACCCTATCCTGGCCTCAGTAAGCATCAGACGTGGTTGTGATACATACACACACACAGGCAAAACACCCCTGTTCTAGATATAAATGTGCTTTTGTTTTGCTCCAGGTGTGGGATGTGGGGCTGATTCAGATGGTGCACAGCAGCAGACTATTTGCCTCATGCGGGCTCTGAGAGGAGCTCTTTGCCAGCTGCAGATAGTTTAAAACTGAGGACTCTGGAGCAAGAATAAATGCCAGAGCCCAGAGAATGTGGTGCTCTGAGAAAGAACATGGCTGCTCCTGTGTCCACCTTGCTGTTCCCGGTTGCTGTTATGAGACAAGACGGAGATCTCCTAAAAGGAGGGTTAGACGGGCTCCAAGGAACCTAGCCAGCAGAAACAGCTAAGAAAGAGAACTGCATGTATGTCTGTGTGAGGGTGTCAGATCCCCTAGAACTGGAGTTACAGACAGTTGTGAGCTGCCTTGTGGGTGCTAGGAATGGAACCTAGGTTGTCTGGAAGAACAGCCAGGGCTCTTAACTGCTGAGCCGTCTCTCCAGCCCCGTATCCTTCATTTCTTAATGCTTGACAATCCTGAAAATATTTTTTCCCACATTCAGGGGACAGGGAAATGGCAGGTCACTTGCTCGGGGTCACACAGTGGCTACTTCTTCAACCCTCCACCCATTTAACAACTTTTTGTTTTTTTGAGACAGGGTTTCTTTGTGTAATCCTGGCTATTCTGGAATTTGCTTTGTAGGCTGGCCTCAAACTTAGATTCACCTGCCTATGCCTCCCATGTGCTGAGATCAAAGGTGTGTGTCACCATCGCCTAGCTAAAAACTTTTTTTGAAATTAGATTTCTTCGTTTTATTTTATGTGTGAGCGTGGACCTGCTGGTGAGATAGGCTTAGCAGCACGTATCTGGAGCTAGATGAATGGACTTTCCAGGGGACCCCTAACTGGGGAGGTGACTCAGGACTGCTCTCCAGGGTCCACCTCTCTCAGGGCTTTTATTTTGCTTGTTGATTGGTTTTGTGGGGGTGGAGGTTTTGTTGTTATTTTGAGGGGCTCTTGCTAGGTAGCCCTAACTGGCCTGGAACTTGATGTGTAGACCAGGCTGGCCTTGAGCGTACCTGAGCGCCGATTAAAGGCGTACACCACCACAGCCGGAACTTTTAGGATTGAGTGACCATGAGCCATCATCGTGGAAGTATTTCACAGCCGTGGGGTGCAATGACAGCATTATTGGCAGCTGCGGTTACTGTTGGCTTCAGGTTGTAGCAATGTTGAGGGCATTCACTGCTTTTCTTTATGCTGTGACTATAACCCATGTACACGCCAGGTACCTTTTTTTTTTCCTGGGGTGTGCCCATTTACCTAATGCCTAAGACCCAAGAACTTCTGTTTTTCATCTTTAAATTTTCTTTCTTTTTTAGGGAGGAGTGATGTTTTGCTATGTAGCTCAGCTGGCCTTGAACTTGGAGCAATCCTCCAGCCTCAGCCTTCCTCCTGCTGAGGTTGTAGGCCTGGGCTAACATACCCTACCAGGAAAGCTCTTAACAGACACCAGGACAGGAGAGCCCAGGAGTCTTGCTCCGCCTGTGTATCTGGCTTGGGGGGTAGAAAGGAACTTGTTGCGCTCTGCTGAAACCACGCTCAGATGGCTTTCTCAATCACTGCAGTGCCTCAGAGCCCAGCACCACGCCAAATTTGCCTCATCCCAAATTCCTGGGAAGAGAGCATATCTGATAAGTCCAGTCCTGATGCTGACTGGTTCAGCTGCTGTAGCTGAGGCAGGGTGGGGATTGTGGGGTGTGGGATTGATGGTCAGGTCGGCAGTTCTCAGAGAAGCAAAGCTTGGGTGGGAGCAAAGGCCGGAGAATCGATTACATCATCTCAACTAATGTGTGGGGTGGATGGACTGTTGTGGGTCAGAGGGAGGATGGGCAGGAGGGAGGAGGAACATGAGGTGGTATGAGTGTGAGGTGTGCAGAGTTACACTGTAGAGTCTAGGGCACGTCACAGGCACCAGGGGTTGTTGGGTTAGGGTTTACATGCTTGTGTATATAAATAAATGATTTTCAGTTTGCTCCTCCAGCTCACCCTCTCACGCTCTCACCATCTTGCGCTGCTCCTCCCTCCCGCCCTCCCGCCTTTGACCTACAGCCTTCCACAGCTTAGTTGAGATGTTGTAATAGATTCTCTGGCACTTGCTCCTTCCTGCCTAAGCCTTGCTTCTCTTAGAACTCTTCCTCAACCCCACCCACACCCCTGTGGTCCCCACCCTGCCTTGGCTACAGCAGCTGGACCTATACAGAGGCAGAACTGGATTTTAGATTGTTACATTTTAAGTTATTATAATACTTGGTTCCTAATAGCAAGCAGAACAGGTCCCTATGCAAGGAACAGTGACCGTCTCAGGTCAAAGCAGGCTCAGGGTTTAGAGCTCTTGGAGGCGCCTCAATAGAAAATTACGCATTGCATCCTGTTCTTAGCAGCATCTCGCTCTGTGCTTTCTTTTGTTATGCTGTGTGTATAGATGTTTTGCCTCTGTGCATTGCTCTATATCATGTGCATGCACTACCTATGGAGGCCAGAAGAGGGCATCGGATCCCCTGAACTAGAGTTGGAGATGGTTGTGAGCTGCCATGTGAGCGCTGGGAACCAAACCCAGTCCTTGGCAAGAGCAGGCAGGGCTCTTAACCACTGAGCCACTTCTCCATCCCGTTGCTCTGTGCTCAAGTTATTGATTGTCTCAGTATAAGTTTTCTTCATGGTTTTTGAGACAGGGTCTCATTATGTAGCTCTGGCTGTCCTGAAATTCGCTCTGTAGATCAGGCTGGCCTCAGACTCCTAGAGATTCACCTACCTCTGCCTGCTGAGAGCTGCAGTTGAAGGTGTACACCTCTGTGCCCAGTCTCAGTATAAGTTTTCTTTTAAAAAATTATTTTTCTTGCATTTTTGTTTTGTCTGCATGTATGTCTGTGTGAGGGTGTCAAATCTTGGAGTTAAAGGCAGTTGTGAGCTGCCATGTGGGTGCTGGGAATTGAACCAGGTCCTCTGGAAGAGCAGACAGTGCTCTTAACCACTGAGCCATCTCTCTGGCCCCTCAGCATAAGTTTTCAATGACAGTTTCTTAGAAAAAAGGAAGATGGAAAGAAACAGACAGAAAGAACAAATGAACAAAAGGCAAGATGAACACCTATAATTCCAGTACTTGGGAGGTAGAGGCAGGAGGATTACAACAAGGTCCAAGTGTAAGCTACATGGCAAGACCCTGTATCAAAATTAAGAATAAAATGAAAAGCTGAGGTGGTGCACAGCTACAATTCTTATATGCGGGAGGAAGAAGCAGGAGGATCAAGAGTTCAAGGCTAGAGCCAGGCAGTGGTGGCTTTAATCCTAGCACTTGGGAGACAGAGGCAGGTGGGTCTCTGTGAGTTCAAGGCCAGCCTGGTACACAGAGCAAGTTTCAGGACAGCCAGGGCTACACAGAAAAAAAAAAAAAAAAAAAAAGCAAAACAAACAAACAAAAAAAGAGGTCAAGGCTAACCTGTGCTACTTACCTGTTTGAGGAGGCCAGCCTGGACTACATAAGACTGTACCTCAAACAAACAAAAAGTAAAAAAGCTCTGGAGCTACAGATCCATTGTAGAAGGCTTCCTTAGAGACTGTAAAACCGGGTGGAGGGGGGAAGCTGGGGAGATGTCTCAGCAGTTAAGAGCACTTGCTGTTCTTGCAGAGAAACTGGGTTCAGTTCCTTGTACTCACGTGGTGGCTCACAGCTGCTTTAGAACTCCAGTTACAGGCGACCTTCGAGGTTCTCCTCTGTCCTCTGCAGGCACACTTGGTGGCACACACATACATGTAGGCACTCACACTTACATATATAAAAAAATGAAAGCACAGGGGGAGAGTGAAGAAAAGGAAAGGGTAGCTGCTGAGGAAGCCTTGGAAATGGGGTTCTCCAGGTGAGAGGATGGGGACCCACGATTATGAAGGATGTACTCCCTCACCTCGACATTCACCTGTGGCCTGCGTGCACGCCGCATGCTGAGTGTCTCTGATGGAGGAGCATCCTCGTACGCAACCCCACCTGAGAGTCTTAGGGTTTGCAGCCTCAGGCCCACTCCACACCAGTCTCCTAACAGGAATCCAGAGGATTCTTGTAGACTTTAGGAAGTGGATTAAGCCCTTTTGTGCGGCTCACAGGGGTCTTCTTCCGTGCCTGGGAGCTCTTCCTGTCTGTGACTTGTGACTAGCTCAGGGCAGCCCCCCAGGCTCTGATGTCACCCTCTCCAGATGTCCCCAGATGGGACTGAGGGGTGTCTATATTTCCTGACCGCACGTGAGTATGCTGTGACCCTGCTCCACCCGTCTCACCACTGCGCATACTTTGAATTTTCCCTGACAGGAAATAGTGGATTGGTTCAATGCTCTCCGAGCAGCCCGCCTGCAATACCTAAAGTCGGCCTTTCCTGATCTCCCGGAGTCTGAGGTGAGCGAAATGTGGGCTTGGCTTCTGAGTCCCCATCACTTCCCTTTTTCTCTTGTGTCACTCGGGCTCTGCTAGGTTTATTGAAGGCAAATCCTCGGGAGACTGGAGGATGACAACTATCTGCAGGGTCAAGGGCCTCAGCCTTTGAACATCTCTCTGATCTTGCCCACTAAAATATGTAAATGAGCCCTCTGTGCTGTGTGCCAAGCACTTTGACCCATTTTATCTCATAACTCTTTCCATATAGTAATTACTTACAACAGGCAATTGGGCTTGGTGATTATTATTCACTCCATTACATGAATAATGGAGCCCTTACCCTTCCACTGCTGTGTCGCTGGCTGTGTGCTGTGGTGCTCTGTCCTTTCGGAGCTGTTGGGATCCTCCTCACTACAGAAGTGGATCTTCCTGAGGTGGGAGCAGTAAGCTGAGAACTTCGTTTTGATCGTCCTCAGACATCTGGGACCCTCATCTGTGTCCTGCAGGCTTGCCTGGGGAAACTGGAAGGACATGGTTCAGAGGATGGTGTTTTAAGCCAGGAGGCCTCGGCCCTTGTGGGTCTCTGTCACTGACACACTATGTGGCCCTCAGAACTCACAGTGCCTTTCTGAGCGTGTTTTCGTATTAGGAAGATAATGGTTGGTCCCCTCTAGCTATGACGTTTCCGTAATTGAGGATGTAGCTTTGTTTTGTTTTGTTTTGGTGTTGTGATTTTTTTTTTTTTTTTTTTTTTTTTTGAGACGCAGTTTCACTGTGTAGCCCAGACGGGCCTAGAACTCACCGTATAGACCAGGCTGGCCTGGAACCCACAGAGATCTGCCAGCCCCTGCCTCCTGAGTGCTGCAGTTAAAGGTATGAGCACACGTGTGTGTGTACATGTACGTGCCGATGAAGGTGCATGTCTGTGTGCATTCATGTGGAGGCCAGAAGCCAGCCCCATGTGTCATTCCTCAGATGCCATCCACCTTTTTCTTGAGACAATCTCTCTTCATTGGCCTGGGTGCTCCCATTAGTGTAGGCTGGCCAGCGAGCCCCAAGAATGCGACTGTCTGGGTCCCCACTCGTGACAATGCTCAGTTTCTTGTTTCTTTTTCTTTCTTTTTTTTTTTTTTTTTTTTGAGACAGGGTTTCTCTGTGTAGCCTGGCTGTCCTGGACTCACTTTGTAGACCAGGTGACCTCAAACTCACAGAGATCTGCCTGCCTCTACAGCCCTGAGTGCTGGGATTACAGTCATATAACCACCGTGCCTGGCTACCCTAGAGTTTCTTAGTCTCTTTTGTTAGACCCTCATTGAAAACCTAAATGTTCCTCAATTTCCAGAGTTCACACTCTCTTTGCTGAGCGGCTGGGATAAGGTCAACTTCGGGCCCGGTGGTGTACTCATTTGGAAGTTTCCCAGGCACGGTGCCAGCAAGGCTGGGGGTCAGGGCCCAAAGCTGAGGTCAGGGTGCTTAGTCAGCACCCAGAGCTAGTCACTGCTGCCTCAGGGAGAGTCCAAAGTGCTGACTGCTGACCCAGGAGAGGGGAGGCGACAAGGGGAGGGCACAGAGCAGGTGCTCGGCCTTATTTAATCTGGCCTGGCTTCCTGCCTTTGCTAACCTGTGTGGAGGAAGTCCATCTTTGACCGCTGTTCTCAGTGCCCCCTTGCCTCCTTCCCCAACCATCATCCTATCCCGCCTGCCTCTCTTGTCTTTCCTATATCTGGGTGTGGTGCTCAGGCTTAAGAATTTGGAGCTGGAAGTCTTTGCCGAGTTGTAATCCTTTCATCTGAAATGCACACAGGGCTGGGGTGTGGCTCAGCAGTAGAGAACTTTGGAGGCTGAGGCAGGAGGATTTGCTGAAAGTTTGAGGCCAGCCTGAGCCACATAGTGAAGTTCAAAATCAGGCCAGCTTGGGATACACAGAAAAACCATGTTAGAGTGGAGGGAGGACGGAAAGCAGGGATGGAGTAAGAGAATGAAAAAAGCACACATAAACCGGGCTTGGTGGCACACACCTGTAATCCCAGCACTCAGGGAGGCAGAGGCTGGCAGATCTCTGTGAATTTGAGGTCACCTGGTCTACAAAGCGAGTCCAGGACAGCCAGGCTACACAGAGAAACCCTGTCTCAAAAAAACAAAACAAACTAAAACCCCAAAAAAGTGTACATAAACTGTAGTCCAAGCTTAGTGTGCTGCCCAGAAAATGACATTTACCTCAGAGCTCCAGTGTGCTCATCTCTCCTGTCACCATGACCCAGTGCCACCTGCCGGGCTGTTATAAGAATGGAGTGAGCCAGTGTCTAAAGTACAGGAAGAGAGTGCTGAAGGAGAATGCCAGCCACATGGCTTCGTGGCTTCCCTTGTTTCTCTTGTTTTCTTCTGGGCCTAGACTAGACTAATGTTTCAAGTTCAGACTATGAAATGTTTGGGGGCCTGTTTTCTCCAAACAGTGGATAAATCCTGTAGAATCTGTTTTAGGAGAAATGGAGTAGTCTAGCATAGATTTTCACTTTGGGCCGAAGTGTTCCTCTCTTTCTTCCTGTTGGGATTCCTGAGATTCTACCTCAGCCTTGCCCTTGCAGCCCAGGGCCCTGCTGTGTCCTTAGGAATCTGGACTTACATTTGACACTCTATAGAGTTGTCCAGTCCCTGTATCCTCTCTTCCAGGAAACATAGGAAGTCACCGTCCATCCCTGGAAGCTTCCCTCAGTAGGAAAGCACGCTGTCAGGGCCGTCAGAGAGCACAGGGGGAGGCAGACCCCCGGAGACAGAAGGCCTCCCAAAGTAACAGCAGCTGGAGGCCAGAAGTGGCGCTAGTATTCTGTCTCCTAACACCTAGGCCAGAGTTTTCTCTGTTTGTCCACCCCACTGTCTCCTCCTCGTGGACTGTGTCAGGATCTATGACCAAGTCTCAGCTGGCTTCAGCACAGTGGGGGGTCTGGTCAAAGGGCTCCGTCAGCCATCTTTACATTTTGGTACCATAGTGGTGTAATGGCACACAGGAGGCCGGCCTGTGAATCCTACCTCTTCATGCTATCAGCCACGTGACTGCAGCAAAGTCTTCTCCCACGTCTCCATGGCCTCGTTTCTTTTTTTCTTTTTGGCCTGGTTTCTGAGTAAGGTAAGGCTGATAAAATCTATCAGCCAGCGTGGTTGGGGACTGTACTCAGAGCCCGCCATGGCCCCAGAGACAAATGGGATGTTTGTTTTTTCCTCTTCCCTCCTCCTTTTCCGTTTGTTTGAGACAGGGTTTCTCTGTGTGGCCCTGGCTGTCCTGGAACTCACTCTGTAGATCAGGCTGGCCTCAAACTCTGAGATCTGCCTGCCTCTGTCAACAAGTGGGTCACTTGACAGCCTGGCCTGTTCTATACTCTGGGATGAATGAAACTGAGCCATGCTGTAAAACTCTGTAGACATCAGGGCCATTGACTGGCTTTGTTGAAATATTTGTATTATATCCAGTACACACTCCAAATATAACCTAAAAACCACAACTGCGCATCTTGTCCCATTCCGCACTTCTCCTTTGTCTTGGGTTCAATCTGGAACCTTAAGATCTGGGTGTGAATAGGGCATCAGCCTCTGTTTCTCCCTCAGCTCGTGCCTCTCATCACCAGGAACTACCTCAAACAAGGCTTCATGGAGAAGACTGGCCCAAAGGTACATGCTGCTGTTTTCTGGGTTACTTGATATGGCTATATCCTAACCACCAATAAAGCAGAAAATTGGGGGTGGGGTGGGGTGGAGGGCTGAAGGGAGAGAGAAAGGAAGACTACCAATATTTGTGAGTTTCCGCACTAAAGAACTGAGTAGAGACCGGGAGTTGGCTGGTGTGTGACCCAGCATGGCTGCAGGGGCTTCTTCCTCCCGTGGACCACCCTGTCAGCTCCACCAGTGTCTGTCCTCCGCTCTCCATTAGACTCTAACCCCGGGAGAGCAATGCTGAGAAGGGATCCCCTAGAGAGACAGCTTCTGAGTAGATATTTCAGTCCGCTGTGCTAAGAGTCCACCAGGACGGCGTAAGAAAAAGCTGTGGCCTCGTGCCCTTCCTCCTCACACCCAGCCTGGCTCCTGGTGACTAAGCCTGCTCCTCTCACCAGGTCCTGCACCTTCTCACTAACGTAAGGAGGACGAGGAACAGCCTGGGCTTTCCTGTAAACCGGTCAATCGTTGCACAGACCCAGATCCTTAGGAGGCTGAGGCAGGAGGATTGCAAGTTCGAAGCTCGCTTGGCCTACATAAGAAATTCAGTCAGCCTGCACAATTTAGTGAGCCCTGTCTCCCAATCTCAAACTGAAAACTTAGTAAAGTGAAGTGGGGTGCAGTGAGAGCATTTGTCTAGTGTGCACAAGGTCAGGGGTTCAACAAAAAAATACAACTCTAATGTGTTACAGGACGTTTGTTGTCCTGAAAGGTGTTGGAGGACAGTGTGAAAGAAAGCCTCAGGAGCCCCGTGGTGGTGGTGGTAGTACACACCTTTAATCCCAGCACTCAGGGAGGCAGAGGCAGGTAGATCTTTGTAAGTTTGAGGCCAGCCTGGTCTATAGAACAAGGCTGCACAAGGAAACGCTTCCTCAAAAAAAAGGGGGGGGGGTGCTCAGGAGTTGGAAACTCAGTCAAATGGTGATGACAACCTCCTTCCCTCAGATGCCAAGCACAGTCCTTGGTTTTTGCCTCAGGCCTTTCTCTCCCCTGACCTAGTTGAGCCAAGGCCAGCACTTTCAGCTTTGTGAGCAGGGGCCACCGCTGACTTCCCAGGCTTCCTTCTTCTGAGACTTATTTGTGCACAGCCTAAGAGGGAAGTACCCTTTCACTTGCAGGCGGGACCTGGAGGTGCAGAGCAAAGCTAGCGGGGAGGGAGGAAGGAGGTACAGGGAGAGGCTGAGCTGAGCCTTCAGAATCTGAGCAGGTGGTGGTGTGTCCCCTTAATTCCAGCACTCCAGAGGTAGACGCTGGGGGATCCCTGCGAGTTCCAGACCAGCTGGGACTACAGCGAGACCCTGTGTCCAAACAAACAAATGAATGAACAAACAAACAGAACATAAGACCCAGAGTCTGACCAGGGGCTCAGACCTGTGGACCATAGACATAGTTTGGCTGGACCCCAGTCTCAGCCCTGCCATTACAAGAGCCATTTTCTGGGGAGGCTGTGCATTCCCAGGAACTGGCCCCAGAGAAAAGCTCTAGCCCGTCTGATTGCAGAAGCTAGGCTGGAAGACTGGTGTGATGGCCTCTTGTCTGAACTGGCCCTGACCTATGTGCCTAGCTTTGTCATGTCTGGTAAGAGGTTCCTTCTTTTGCAGCAGAGAGAACCCTTCAAGAAAAGGTGGTTTGCTCTGGATCCGCAGGAGCGGAGGCTGCTGTATTATAAGAACCCCCTGGTAAGAGCCATTCCTCCTCCCTCCGGAGCATGTTCCCAGTCAGATGGGCTGGTGCTGATCTCAGAATATATGGAAGGACCGTCTCCCAGAATCCCAGGGCAGGGGAACCTGTGACAGGAAAGCCTGTACCCTTGCTTCTCCTCTGTACCCCTGCTTCTCACGCAGCTCTGAGTCAGGATCCTTAGTGCTGACAATTGTGGTTAAAGTAAGGTGTAAGCACAACCTTGTAACTAGGAGGTCCGGAGTGGAGTGGTGAGGGATGTGGGCTTGGGGACAGTCCAGTTTGGCTGGGCTCTGGGCTCAGCCCTGCTATGCCCTAGGCTGTGTGTGCTGATAGCTCTCTAAGGCTGCATTTCTCTTCTGCAAAATATGAGCTTAGCATAAATGCCTGGCTCAGAAGTGGCCGTGATGAGTATAAAAGTTGCTGACATGTAAAAGCATTTGAGCTGGGCCTGTGGGCACCAGCCTGTCATCCCAGCTACGAGGGAAGCTGAGGCAGTTGGATTGCAAATTCAGACCTCCTTGGGCTTCAGAATAAGTTCAAGGCCAACCTGGGTAATTTACTGAGACCTTGTCTCAAAATTAAAGAGTGTATGTGTTAGGTTCTGCTCAGTGCCTAACATGTTCAAGGCTCTAAACTCAATCACTAGTGGCCAAAACAAAGTAAAAAACCAGCCTTTGTGTTCCCAGTGCCTGGTGGAGTCTCTGTATGTTAGCATTTTCAACAGGTTTGCGTGCAACGTACTTTAGGTTTTACGGTTTCAGATTCGGGGTCACATCTGGCAATGACATGCACATCTCTTTAAACCAAACTTGACCTTGGGACTGGCTGGGCCTCGGGGGCTCTTCTGCCTCAAGGCAGCCTCTGCTGACCACGTGCCTTCCATTCTCAGGATGCTTTTGAGCAGGGCCAGGTTTTCCTGGGGAGCAAGGATCAGGGATATGAAGTGTGCGAAGAGCTGCCCAAGGGCATCCGAGGGAACCGCTGGAAGGCTGGCCTCGCTGTCGTCACTCCAGAGCGGAAGTTCATCTTCACTTGTCCCAGCGAGAAGGAGCAGCGAGAATGGCTGGAGAGTCTGCGCGATGTCCTGTGCAGCCCCTTGTCACCCCTCCACCTTCTCAGTGAGAAGCGGGGGGCGGGCGGTTGGGAATGGAGTTGGGGGTTCTCGTGGGTGAGGGCAGAAAAGGCCTCCTTCACTTGTGGTCCCGGAAGCGCCTGACTCAGCTTTCTCAGTCGCCCTCACTTCCTGCCAGAGAAAAGCACACACACTGCACATTATTGCCAGAAAATCCCCTCTGCACCAACTTCCTCTCTGCAGCCATCCTCAGGAGTCCGGTCCGAGCAGAACTGTAGAGACTGGCTCCTCCCGGCTGCTCAGACTCCTCACACCCGTGTCCTTTTTCTCATAAGAAAATGCTGGCTTGGTACCCTTAGCAGAGCTTGACCTGCCGGGCGTCCCCTGGGACTCTGGATTCCTCCCCTCCCAGAGGGAAGGCTATTTTTAGTTTTCTCCCTCTCCTCTGCCCTCCCTTTTGTCTGTCTCCCTCCCCTGTTCCTCCTCTTCACCCCAGATGTGTCACAAGAAGACTGTTCCCATCTGTCGACAGCCCGAAAAGCAGAGATATGCTGAGCTAGGGAGGAAGCATCTGTCCCGGGGCCAAGCTTCTAGGGCATAAAGGAAAAGTTCTGCATTTGGAAGAGTACAAAACGAACAGGTGTCCCCAAAAGCCTCTGGTGAAGCCCTTGTGCCTCCCTAGACTCACCAGTAAAAATACAGCTGTCACAGCCGGGCGTGGCTTTAATCTCAGTACTTGAGAGGCAAAGACAGGCAGAACTCTGAGTTCAAAGTCAGCCTGCTCTACGTAATGAGTTCCAGGACAGCCAGGGGCTACATAATGAGACCCTGTCTCAAAAAACCAAAAACTAAAACATAAACAAAACAAACAAAAACTTCAATCCACAACCATTTTCACTGTCCAGTTCCCAAAGCCAAGGACACAGAAGGCAAGTGGTGAGTACTTCAGCCGCTGCCCTCCGTTCTCTGTGGGCCTGAATCCCGAAGTCTCTGGTCCTGCTTTCCTCTCTGTTTTAACCTGCGTTCCTGTCTCCTCTCTGTCTCCTTCAGTCTGTTCTGTTCTGTTTTATTCTCATTTAAAGTTCTCTTTTCTTCCAGTGTTGCCATGGCTCCCTCTGTCACTGCACACTTATTCATTATTTCGTTAGAGAATAGAAAGCCTGAGTAAAGCCAGACAAGCAGCCAGAGATTTTCTAGACAGAATGTGTCCCCAAATTTGGGGATTCCCCTTTCCGTCCCCTCAGCTGCCCCTCTCCTCCAGCAGGACCGCAGCTAGCATGGCCACCTTCGCCAGCCCTCTTCCTTCCCTTGCAGATGCATCAGCAGAGACTGGCTGTGGCCTCAGGTGACCCACCTAGGAGGATCCTGGCGGAGCACTGAGCACGTGAGGTCCTGGAGGAGCGGTCACCTCTGCCCTGGTTGTCCAGAAGGAAGCCCCGAGGCCTGCAGCCGCCCCTGTCAGTGAACTCTGTCAAGATTCCGGGTGTGGTTTATCCTAAGGCTCCCGGGGATGTTTCCTTCCAGCAAACATTTCCCGGTCTTGATCTGGTGCAGAGAAGAATTCAGCTTTCCAAGCCTGGAAGTGCTGAAGGCTTTCTCACAACTGCGTGGCGATGCATGCTTATTGGGAGGCAAGAGTGCCATTAGTTAGTTCAGTGCCAGCCTGGACGGTACAGGGAGTCCAAGTCCAGCCTGAGTTATATAGCAAGACTTGTCTCAAAAAACAAGCACAAGCAAGCAGGCAAACAACATAAACTACAGAGAGGGGGTAGAGACACAACAATAAAGTGCCCACAGCATTGTGTAAGTGGAAAACAATGGAAAGGTTTAACCCTAACTGAAGAAATAATCAGACATTCCTATGTTACTTACATGTTGCTATGTAACTAGCCTGGACTCTTCAAATGTCAATATTATAAAAGATAAAATTGGCCAGGTGTGGTGATAGATGCCTTTAGGCCCATGTGCTCAGCGTGGCAGAAGTAGGCACTCTGAATTCAAGGGCAGCCTGGTCTATGTAGGGAGTTCCAGGACAGCCAGAGCTATATAGAGAGAACTTCTTTCAAAAAAAAAAAACTGAAAGGAGGAAGAGACACAGATCAAAGCCAGGGGTGGTGATACCTATAATTTTAACATTAGGGAAATAGAGACAGGAAAATCAGAGGCTCTTCTATTATAGAGAGGTCAAGGCTAGCCTGGGCTACATGAGACCCCCATTCAACAAACAAAACCCCCAAACAATGCCAAATCATGGCAGCTAAATGACGTATGGGATTCTTGATTTGAACCTGGATTTTAAAAAAGAAACCTGGGCTCTGGAGAGATGGATGGCTGCTCTTTCAAAAGTCCCGTGTTCAATCCCCAGCAGCCACATGGTGGCTCACAACTATGAGAGCCACCAATGAGATCTGGTGCCCTCTTCTGGTGTACATGTAGGCAGAACACTATAGATAGTAAATAGATCTTAAGGGGGTTGAGGGAAGCTGGCTGATGGTGGTAGTGGTGTATGTCTTTAATCCCAGCATTTGGGAGGCAGAGACAGGGGAATCATTGTGAGTTCAAAGCCAGCCTGGTCTACAAAATGAGTTCCAGGACAGCCAGAGCTACACAGAGAAACCTTAAGGCTGACTAGATGGTTCAACCGCTTAGGGCACTGGCTGCTATTCCAGAGGGCCTGAGTTCAATTCCCAGCACGCACATGGCAGCTTGCAATTGTCTGTAACTCCGGTTCCAGGGCATCTGACACACACACATATATATAATGACTTTAAAAAGTCACAAACCAGGTATGATGGCGCACACCTGTAATCTCAGTACTCGGGAGGCAAAGGCAGGCAGATCTCTGAGTTTTAGGCCAGCCTGTTCTACAAGTGAGTCCAGGACAGCCAAGGATATACAGAGAAACCCTGTCTTGAAAAACAGAGTCACTGTAAAGGACATAACTGGTGTTGGATAAATTGGAATCTAGATGTACAGTAGCTAACAATATTACACAATTGTGGCAATCATGATGTGTCTGTACAGATGTTCCTGTTCTCAGGTGACACATACTGAAGTAGGATATAGTGATGTTTGCAGCCAATTTTTAAACTAAAAATTTCAACTAAAATCTGTACGTGTCTATATGTACGTGAATGGAATGCACATGCGTGCATTTCTATATATACAGAGAGCACAGCACTGATGAATCTAGATGAAATGTAAATGAACATTTATTTTCCTATCTGTGAAAGAACATTTTATATGGATCTGAGTTTTCATATTAAAAAAGTTGACAAGACACCCAGCCTTCACTCTTCAAAGGCAATGGTTTTCCTTCAAGAATGCAATATCCCTGGAGCAGGGCACGGTGCATACATTGGCAGATTCTAAGTACTCAGGGGGTTCAGGCAAGTCCACTTGAGCCAAGGAGTCTGAGAACACCCTTGGGCATCCTGGTGAGACATTGTCTCAAAGATCGTGGGAGGGGGCTGGAGATGTAGCCTTCAGTGGTGAAATTGTTATGACAGGCTCATGGGACCCTCAGAGACCACCAGGAGACAACTCGATGCAATTGCAAGAGAGCTTTATTACCAGAGCAATCGAACTCGGGATCCAAGTCTCACTGACGCAGCAGTAGAGAAGTGGAACCCCGAGCTCTGAGTGAACAGGATTTTTAAAGGGAAAGTCTGTGAGCAGGGGGTTTCCATGGCAGCAAGCAGGGGGGCACAAGCCTTGGGGTTACAGAATTGGGTGAAGTTTAGCAGGGCGGGGTGACCTTTTCTGAGGCACACAATCACAATGGGTATTTTTCTAAACCATATCTGAAACATTGGGGAGAATTTTCCCACTTGATTTCCAACCGATTCCCATTGATTATTGCCAGGGAGTTTGTCTCTATTTTCTATGAAGCATTTATTCTGTTATATTTCCTGGAGGCTGTTGGTAGGAGAGTTAACTTTGTTTTCTGCCAGGCGTACATTCTGTGATATTTCCTGGTACCTCAATTCAGTTCCCAGTCAAAATCTTTATTTCAAAATGGAGTTATATTCAGGCCAACTCAAACTCTTCAAAATCTGTACTTATTTTACAGGGAAGAGTGATGCCCAAAGGAAGCCCAAGGGTAAAAGTATTTACCAAACCAGAACAGATTAAATAAATGAAATGCTGCTTGGGAGAGCCAGAGATAGTGGCACATGCCTTTAATCCCAGAACCTGGGAGGCAGATCTCTGAGTTTGAGGCCAGTCTTGTCTACAGAGCTAGTTCTAGGACAGCCAGGGCTGCCCAGAGAAACCTGTCTCAACAACAAAAATGCTACAAGAGAGACAGAGCCTCAGAGAATTCTCAGAACACCTCTGCTGCCCCAGGAAAGGTAGTTCCTCCATTACAAGTGGAGTTACTTGATGGCACAGGCTTCATATCTGGGTAGATAAGTAACTGTCTATCTTGTCTTGTTTTCTCAAGACGGTTTCTCACTCTGTGATCTACCTACCTCTGCCTCCCAAGTGCTGGGATTAAAGGTGTGTGCCACCACCACTCAGCTTCCCTTCATCTTGTTAACTAGAACATTTTCCAGCACCTGTTGTCCTTCTCGAGACTGGCCATTCGTGGGTCATTAGGAGTTAAGCACTAAATGCTTGTATCACAAGTCAATGGGGCCCGTCTCCAAATGGCCAGGGTCTGATTGTTAAAGAGTGGGAATTTCTCCTTTTACTTTCAGATTTATTTAGTATCTAGTCTTAGCATACTTCATTCATTAACACTTACAGAGGACTCTCTTTCCCAGAATACACATGGCAGCCCACATTGGGTAACTCCAGTTCCACATGATCCATCACCCTCCTCTGGCCTCCAGAGGCACTGTACCCTCAAGGCACACTTACATACATACAGATCAAATACTCATACAACAAAAAGGAATATGAAAAAAAAAATAGGTTTTTTTTTTCCCCTTCCAAAACAGGGTTTCTCTGTGTGGCCCTGGCTGTCCTGGAACTCGGTAGACCAGGCTGGCCTTGAACTTATGAAAATCTGCCTGCCTCTGCTACCCCAGTGCTGGGAATAAAGGCATGTACCAGCATGTAGAGGAATTTTAATTCAGAATATGATTGCTCTGGCAAGAGATCACATCCAAAGATCTCTTCCTAGGTCTGTTGGATCTGGCTGAAACACAGACACACCTTTAACTTCAGGGGACAAAGGCAAGCAGATCTCTGAGTTCAAGGCCAGCCTGCTAAAGAGCAAGTAAAGAAAAGCTTAAGTCCAGGTGTGGTGATACATGCCTTTAATTCCAGCAGGAGACAGAGTCATACAACTAATCAGCTTGGTTGAGTCCATGAGTTGACAGGCAGTGAGTAAATCTGAGTTTATGGCAGTTCAGTACATGGAATTCAGAGGCAGTTTTACTAGGACAGTTTTAAAGAGACAGAGAACAAGCCAGAGAATGAGAAAGAGCCAGAAGATTAGAAGAGATTGTTAGAGTTAGTTCAAGCCAGAACAGCTGAGTTGAACCAGCCAGCCAGAATTCTTTTTTTTTTTTTTTTAAGATTTATTTACTTATTATGTATACAGTGATCTGTCTGCATATGTGCCTGCACACCAGAAGAGGGCTCCAGCCCTCAGTATAGATGGTTATGAGCCACCGTGTGGTTGCTGGGAATTGAACTCAGGATCTCTGGAAGAGCAGCCTCAGCATTCATAAAGAACTAGAAAGGGTGAGTTTATTCAGTCTCAGAGGCTAAAACCATTCTAGGCCTAGATTTGACTGTACAAAGGCTAGAAGCTTCCAGGACTAGACCTAGGTTAGCAGATGGAGACAATAAGACTCAAAGACAATTAAAAAGGTGAATACCTGGGTGTGATGGAGAATGTAGAAGGCAGAGAAGGCACAGGCAGATGGATCTCTGTGAGTCTGAGACAAAAAACAAAACAAACAAACCAAACCAAACCGAACAAAACCAAAAAAAAAAAAAAAACAAAACAACAACAACAACAAAAAACAAACAGCTGGGCATGGTGGCACATGTCTTTAAGGCAGAAGACATAGGCAAAAGAAGGCAGATCTCTTGTGAGTTTGATATCAGCCTGGTCTACAGAGTCCAGGACATTCAGGGCTACACACAGAAACCCGGTCTTAAAAAAACCAACAAAACAAAACAACAAAAAAAACAGGTGAATAAAAGCTACTTTTACAGAGATGTACTGGATGTTCTCTTGTCTCTTCAGCAGACTGAGATGGTTTTTAAAAGATTCTTAATACATATATATTAATATACATATATTTTTTTTAAATGATAGTGCCTCATATAATCCAGGCTGCCCTTTTTTTTTTTTTTTGAGACAGGGTTTCTCTGTGTCTGTTCTGGAACTCACTGTGTAGAACAGACTGGCCTCAAATTTACAGATATCTACCTGTCTGTCTCCTGAGTGCTGGAATTACAGATATATGCCTTCATGCCTGGTGAGATTCTCTGAATTTACTGGACTTTCTTTGAATTTCCCAGTCAAAGAAGCAGCAGGACAAAAACTGGATTATTCCAGGATATTTGATCCCATTGTGAACCCTGAGACTGTGAACTGTAAAAAAAAGTGTCTTTTGAAAAAAAACCTTTAAAGATAAATATGAAAAATGGATTGATAAGATACCAGCCTTAGAAGGAAAATTAGAGAGACCTATAAACGAGAAGAGAATAAGAAAAATACCAGAGTGCTGAGATTACAAGCCTGTGCCATCCCTCCTGGCTTTAGTTACAAACTCTTTTATTTATTTGTTGTTTGTTTATTTATCTAATGTATATGAATGCTCTATCTTCATGTACACCTGCATGCCAGAAAAGGGCATCAGATCCCATTATAGATGGCTATGGGCCACCATGTGGTGCTGGGAATTGAACTCAGGACCTCTGGAATAGTAGACAGTGCTCTTAACTGCTGAGCCATCTCTCCAGCCCCAGTTACAAACTCTTAATGGCCCACAAATGGATTAATTAACTACGAGAGCTGAGTAATTCTATTCAAACCTTACAAAGTGAGAGAGACTGAGGCTGAGAGAGTACTGGCTCTGACAGAAACTATAGAATGCACATGTACATGTCTTGGATCCAAAGTGAGATGCTATTTTGATTATTTTGCCTTCTACTCATTCTCCCATGGGAATTTGTTGTTGTTTTGAGATAGGGTTTCTCTGTGTAGCCTTGCCTGTCCTGGGCTCACTTTGTAGACCAGGCTGGCTTTACAGATCTGCCTGCCTCTGCCTCCCAGAGTGCTGGGATTATGCAGAGAGAAGACAGTATCTTAGAAACTATATTTTTAGCACATAAGCAGAGTAAAAAACTAAAGACCTATGTAGAAAAGATTTCTGAATTTATTCTGAAAGGAAAAATGGGACTTTGTCAATTGGCACAAATAGACCCACCAGAAAATTGTGGTACCCTTTAGTAATGCTGGCAAAGAGCATGCAGTAATTTTTTGGGAAAGATTAACAACAAATATCCCAAAAGCAAGAGACTTCAATTTATAAAAAGAACTAACTGAATTCTCCCGCATATAGTACTACTGCAAATAAATCAGGAAAGGCAGGTTATAAGTCAGAAAATTTAAGTAAAGTGGCCCAGAGCCCTTAATGAGTCAGTTCAAAAATCAGAGTTATATGCCATTTTATGGTATTATGTGATTTTCGTGAATTTCGTAATATAGTAACTGACTCACAGTATGCAGAAGGTTATTTTACATATTGAAACTGTTAATTCGGGGAGATTCAGAATTAACTCTGCTATTTATTCTACTGCAACAAGTAATTAGAAATAGAAGCCATCCTGTGATTATAACACCTATCAGATCCCACCCGGGTCTACCCTCTAGCACAAGGTAGACAAGTCCCTCATACTACCTGCTTCACAGAAAATCCTGTCAGATATTCTGAGAAAGCTAAAGATGATGCTCCCGCATTGTAGAGAAACCTTGGGTGACCATCCAGGCAGCCGGCAGTCCCTGTCACATCTATATTTTTGGCAGCTGCTTGTTCTGCACATCCTATTTATTCAGATAATAAACAGCCTCCTTCTGAGGTCTCTGTTGGGGCTGAAGACTAAATAGTTATGGTCATTTTTTAAAAGTTTATTTTGTGTAGATGAGTGCTCTATCTGCTGTAGACCTTGCTCACCAGATCTCATTATAGATGGGTGTGAGTTACAGTGTGGTTGCCGGGAATTGGACTCTGGAAGGTCAGATAGTGCTCTGATCTTAACCTCTGAGCCATCTCTCCAGCCCTAACCCCCCCCCCCTTTTTTTTTAAGACAGGGTTTCTCTGTGTAGCCATGGCTGTCCTGGAACGCTGTAGACCAGGTTGGCCTCGAACTCACAGAGATCTGTCTCTGCTTCCCCGAGGACTAGGATTAAAGGTGTGTGCCACCATCCCTCCCCACCCCGCTCTCCCACACCTGCTAAGTAGTTATAGTCTTACAATTAAGCTTGAGTTGTTTAGGATCTAAGATGCTTTAGGTCTAAAAAAAAAAGGGGGTTTTGATAGGTAATGCAAGTTACGATACAAAGTAATTCAGGTATAGAACTTTGGACTCACTAAGCTTAGGATAGACAGTAGAATCCTTTCTCCAAGGTTGCCAGATACTAATGGACTGGATATTATGAGTGTTATTTTTTACCAGATAGTATATAGTTTATTGATGCCAGAGAAAAGTCTTTTATTTAGACAAAAAGGAGAAGATATTGCAGGATATTTGATCTCCTTGTGATTGGGAGTGGGGGGAGTTGGTGGGTCAAACCGAAAACTTGCTTTGCACCTCCCTCCCCCAGTTATGGCGGCCGCATCCCTCAGCACTGCGGTCCCTGTGTGGCTGAGAGAGGAGGACCTGAGCTGCATCATCTGCCAGGAGCTGCTGGACGGTGCCACCACGCTGCCCTGCGGCCACAGCTTCTGCCTGCAGTGCCTCAGTGACCTGTGGCTCGCCCAGCACGCTGGCGTGGGTGGCCGCCCCTGGGCCTGCCCCCTCTGCCGCGAGGGCCTCGCAGACAGGCCCAAGTTGCACAGGAACACGCTGCTGCATGACCTGGTGGACAAGTACCGCCAAGCGGCGCAGGAGCTCCAGGCTGGCCCCGAACCCGCCTCCGCGCCTGAGTCTCCTCCTCACCCCGCGCCCCCTCAGGTAGGAAGCCTTCACTGCTCTGCAGATCGCGCTTGCACCGCTGTACCTCTTGCTTTCGTAATCTCCTGCCCCGTAACGTTCTCAATCTAATCTGTTTTCGGGAGGATCTTTAAAAAGTTCAGAAGTGTATAAAGAAGTAGAAAATCCCGGCAAGGCGAGCCCACGCCTGTAATCCCAGGTTTTGGGAGGCTGAAACCGTGGCTTGTCCCACACAGCCAGAGCTACGTAATGAGGGTATTAACAGAGTAATAGCAGTTAGACAGGATTTAGAGTATTAGCAGACAATAGTTAATACTCTAAATCCCGTCTAACTGAGGTGTGGTGCACCCTAGCATATTCCCGTTTTTTCTCAGCCTTTCTGTGATGTCTGAAAAATTTTAGGGTGGTAGAATATATAATATATACATATGTATATCAATATGTATATATACATACATATATAAATATAGTTTCATATTTTAACTCTTAAATTCAATATTATTTAATTATTTATGTATCTGACTCTGTTTTCTTTGTTTTGTTTTGTTTTGTTTTGTTTTGTTTTGTTTTGTGAGATAGGCTTTCTTTGTGTAATCCTGGCTGTCCTGGAACTCTGTGGACCAAGCAGACCTCGAATTCAGAGTTCTCTGAGGGGATTAAAGGCAGTCATCACCACCGCCCCCATTTTTATTTATTGGGACAGGCCTAACTAGTGTAGACTAAGGTAGGTTGAATCTGGAGTGAGTGACTCACCCAGCTTTCCAGGTTGGGGATTACAGATGTGGACCCACTTGAACTCACTGAGCAGAGGTTCAGGGGCCTCCGCTTCTCAAGAGCTGGGATTAAAAGCCTGTGCCACCATGACTGCCCAACCATTTGAACACTTTTTAGTGTACAGGTCGATGGCATTTGTGGTATTTCCAGTACTGTGCATCGGTCATCTGTCATAAATAGGACCTGAATACCCAGTAAGCAATAGCCCCTGATCCCTGTCCCTCCAAGCCTCTGCGCATGTCTCCTCTGCTTTAAGTCTCTGAATTTACCTGTTGTACGTGTTTCATGTAAATGGGCCCTTTCCACATCTCTTTGTATTAAACTTCTTTCTTTCCTGTAATATTTTTAGGGCTGAGTCATGTTTCAGCATGTATCAGAACATTCTTGCTCTATGTGGCTGTCATATCATGTTTGTGGCTATGTCACTTTCTGCTGGAGCCTGCCGTCAGAGTAGAACAGTTCTCGAGTGGTGAGTGAGGATTGAAAGAAAAATTAATAAACCAACACACCACACATGGGATCTGCTTGAAAGGGCAGCCAGTAGAACTGTCACACACGGATTTATTCCAATAAGCCCTTTTTTTATAGAGCAAAGCACCTTTATACAATGAAGGGTTCATGCAGAAGTCAAATTTGTTTACCTCCACCACCTGTCTGTGCCATCCTCAGGCAAACAAAAGGAAATGAACTTGGCAAAAACATCCTGCCTATGTCTCCAGGTGAAGGCCAGGGTGAAAACATGTTTTTGTTTGTTTGTTTGTTTTTCCTGAGAACTCAATAACTAAGCAGCATGTCAAATAAGCAGCTATCCACAGGTCTCCCTTTTTTTAAAATATATATTTTAAAATTGACCGTAACTTAAGTTACCAACCTCTGCTAGGGTAGACACTGGAGTTTAATCGTACACAGATCAACTTTAACATTAATAAGCGAAGTCCTATAACACTACATAAAAGTGACTTAAAAGATGACCCCTTACCAGAATACCAAGCCTGAGAAACATTCACAGGAACCATAATAAAAGGCTGTTGAACAACCAGAACCTGTTGTCCATTTGAAAGCTTAGAAATACGGTTTGGGTTTGTTAGTTTACGTTGATGGCAAGAAACCTTAAATTTTGAATCTTTTTTTAAAACATTCTTTGTTGTTGTTGTTGTTAAGATTTTGTTTATTTATGTATATAGAGTGCTCTATCTGCATGCATACTTGCATCCTGGAAGAGAACATTAGATTCCAGTGTAGGTGGTTGTGAGCCAACATGTGGGTGCTGGGGATTGAACTCAGGACCTCTGGAAGAGCAGACAGTTCTCTTAACCGCTGAGCCAACTCTCTAGCCCCAAGTTTGAATCTTGTTTGAATAACATTTCCAAACAGCAAAGCATGGCAAGCTTCCAAATATAGGTCTGCTGAAAACCAGAATTAGACCAAAGTCCCATAGTCAGTCCTCTTTTTTATTCTTGAGAATTGTCCTGATTACCGGACCAATCAATTCCAGTCACATTGTATCTGAAAAGTTTCTCTCGGGAACAGAATAAAACAAAGGTGGGTCAGAAGCATAAGCCCAATACAGCTCTCCTTTCACTATCAGGACAGAATTCACCATGGCCAGCAGCAGGGACATCCTCCTCCTGATGAACATCTCCTGCAAATCACACCAGCCTTTCTGGGATCCACCTGGCTCATTCTGTGTCCTGCGGAAAAACACAAACATGTCCTCTTCCCCATGTTAATACAGGGGCCCTGCCATATTCCAGTAATAATCTTTACTATTAGGGTGCCACAAATGTCCATTTGCCACAAATGATTGGGAGTCAGTCCTCTAGGACTGACACCATATTGAGGTATATTAAAATGTTCAGGACAAAAAGAACATAATCTTATAATTTGTCTAGCAGCTTCTCTGGTGATATTAAAGTGCTTTCTTTTCTTTTCTTTTTTTTTTTTAAAGATTTATTTATGATTTATACAGTATTCTGCCTTGCTCGCCAGAAGAGGGCATCAGATCTCATTATAGATGGCTGTGAGCCACCATGCGGTTGCTGGGAATCGAACTCAGGACCTTTAGGAAGAGCAGCTGATGCTTTTAACCTCTGAGTTACCTCTTCAGCTCATTAAATTGTTTTCTTAAGCTCTGACTATTTTGATGATGTAAAGCATGAGATTGTTGAGCCAATTCTTGTTGAGTTAATCTGACCAAGCATATGGCTTGATCTACTAAATTATTCCCTAAAGTTAGAGGTCCAGGAAGTCCTGAATGAGCTCTAATATGTCCTAACAAGGCTGCGCACACGGCTCTGGATGCTTTGTTGTATCTCTCTGAATAGATCTTGTATTTGTTTATTACCTGTATCGTCTCTAGGACTTGCAAAGCCTTAGCAATATAATGGCTATCAGTGCACAAGCTGAAAGAGATAGAAGCCATATTTTTAAAGACCGCAGCTATAGTTAGTAATTCTACAACTTGAGCTGAGAGGCTACTAATGTTTGCAAAACAAAAAATTTGTCCCAGCAGTACATATACAGCTTTCCCATTTGAAGATCCATCTGTGAATACTGTTGGAAATGGCTCTTGTTCAATATGTCCTAAATAATGAGCAAAAACTATGGCCCAACAATCTGCATTTTGAAATAACCACTCTACTTATTTGGTGAAAGGAACTCCAATTAAGGACTGGCCCAGTCAGGCTCCCGGCCTCCTCGGGAGAACAAGGCTTTGGACAGGAAGACATGGTTTCGGCGATGAATTGACAGAGACACCTTGATGGTTTTGGCTCTGCTGTGACTTTACTGAAATCAAGCTAGTATTTTTATAATGATTTCACAAAAGGCACCTTAAAATTGGCAAACTTCCCAGAACATTCAGACTTTTACCAAGAATACAAAGTTTACATTTTAACTCAAAATGCAGTCAAACATAAAGCAGTGCCCACAAGAAATCTTGGCCTAAAAACTTTTTGATCAGAGCAAACAAAGAGAAAGAAACCTCAAATGTAGTTTCATTATTGCTAACCAGTGAAGAGGAAAGTCAGGAGCTAGGTCAGATGCCTGCCAAAATCTTTCTCTATATCAAAATCTAATTACACCTTTGTTAACCATCCTCCCATATGTCCTGCTAAAGATTTATAATCTTCCCTAGGAACAAGGCACTAAAGGGAGGGGAAACGCCTGCCAGCTGCACCTCCCATGCTATTTTTTAAGAAGGAGCCTATTATTATTTCACTATTCTTAATGCCTATTAATACTAAATCTAATTCATTACTTTTCTTAAACTTATTCCTTTTACATATTATTTTTATTAAAGCCTTTAATAATCTACTAATAATAAATTTCTTTATAAAATTTGTTGTGATGTTTCAGGAGTCACAGAGAAAGATAAAACTCATTAATCCAGCCCGAACTGAAACCGAAAAAGCGTAGAAATCTCAGAACGCGTCTCTTTGCCAGGCGGGGGGGGGGTGGGGGTGTCTTCCAGGGACCTCCAGAGAGCATAATCCCGAAGGACACATATCTCTTAGTCTGAGTAGCGCCATCTACTGACACGCTACACCAGACACTGGAGTGGGTGTGGCAGGTGGGCTCTCTACCAAAATACTTGAGAGAGATTCTGTTGAGCTATTTGAACTAAACTAGCCACTGCTTCAAAATATGGTGTTAGAACAGGAGACACAGGCAAGGGCAACCATAATAATGGTCCTTCTTGCCACAATACAGCAGTTGGAGTATGAACAGTAGCCAGAATATATGCACCCCATTCTTTTGAATAACCTATATATCGAACATGTTATTTTTCAATAGCTAATTCTATCTTTTGCAAAGCATCACGAACTTCTTTGGTAAGTACCCTTTTTTTAAAAAGATTTATTTATTTATTTTGTGTATATAAACACACTGTTTTCATGCACACCAGAAGAGGAAATCAGATTCCATTGCAGATGGTTGTGAGCCACCATGTGGTTGCTGGGAATTGAACTCAGAACCTCTGGAAGAGCAGTCAGTGCTCTTAACCACTAAGCCATTTCTTCAGCCCCAGTAAGTACCCTTTTTGACAAAGGATCAGCCTCCTTTTAAAATGTCAAAAAGTGGTTTCGGCTCTCCTGTAGTTAACTTCAAATGGGGTATAAGCCAATTATTATCACCTATCAACTTTTGAAAATCATTTAAAGTTTTTAGGTTCTTTTCCCTTGATTGAATTTTCTGAGGCATAATGATCTGAGGATATAATTTATGTCCCAAATACAAACAAGGTGGCTCTGTCTGCACCTTTTCTGGTGCAGCTACTAAACCTTGATCCTTCAAAGCTTGTAAGTGTGCAAAAGCGCTTAATAAAATCCCTTCAT